ATTCATCCATGGTCATTTCCTTGCGTTTACGTTTTAAATAATTTTTGAAATCTTTCCAAGCCGATGGTAACTTTTCCACTAAAACAGCAACTTGGAAAGACTTGTTAAGAGACATATCTTCAGAATGAATATCATGCAAAATTATCTGAAAATCTTGAACTTGAGAAATTACCGTTTGGGAGTCTACCATAACGAAATCTAGAAATTTACCGACAACAAATTTCTTTGTGTCGGCATCCTCTGTCTTGTAGTTTTTCTCCAAAGAATCCCACAATTCTGTTGCTGACTTCAGAGGGCTGTAAACATTATACAACATGTTGTCAAGGCCATTGAGAATGTAGTTTCTGCACAGGAAATCAGAATGCTTCCAAGCATCTATAGCGGCAACAATTTGCCGATCACTTTCATCCTCTTGCAGTACTGGAGCCTCTTCACGGAGAAATCGGGCCAAGTTTAGAGTTGTAAGATAAAACAGCATTTTCTGCTGCCATCTCTTAAACTCAGTACCATTAAATTTTTCCAGTTTTTCTCTATGATTTATCGGAAATTGAACATGGTTCTGGATAGGGACCGGAGTTGGTGTAACAATTGGAGTACCACTTCCAATTGCAGTTTCAGTTGCAGTAGCCATAATATCTAATTACAAAAATTAGAAAAAACCAAAACACAAATTAATTTTCTAGTTACTAAAACTAGAAAATAAATTATAACACAAAATAATTTTATTTTCCTTATTACTAAAACTAGAAAAATAAAATACCACAATAATTTTTTGTAACACAAATTAATATTCTGTAATTGTTAATGACACCAGTATATTACTACTAGTTGTCAAAGAAAATAGACAATATGTTACTACTATCTATCAAACAGTATATTACTACTATTTGTTTTCCAACAAGAATATCACTTTTGTGAAAACACAGAAAATTAAATACAATGAAGACACAAAAAATTAATCTGTCTTAAGATTGTTAGACAATCTTCACTGTATTTAAATAAATAAATTATGTTTGTGTACTAAACTACAAACAGAATAGAAAAGAAAAATAGGAAAGGAGAGAGAATGTTTGATTACAAAAATCAAACTAGAAATAAAATAAAATAAATAAATAAAAGATTTTTATTTTGTTACAAAAACAAAATCAAAATTTGATTTAAATAAATAATAAACTAGAAAATAAATTAACAACTTACTTAATTAATTTCTTGAACAATATTCTAATCAAGTCCAGTGTTAGACATTGTGTCCTTAAGACAAATTCGTCCTCTCCACGGTGCTTTCAGATATGTGGACGTCTATCTTCCAGGATAAAATGATCAATCAACGAATAAATGCAGTACTACAATTTATTCGCACAACGAACATACTAAGTGTTTACACTCTTTGTTTCTCACAAGGAAAATAATGCATCAAAAATATAGAGAAGGCAGACAATATTTTGGACGAAATTAGAGTGCAAAACCAAGTGAGTGACTTGTCTATATAGTGTAAAGGTGACTCTTCATTTTGAATTAAATAGGTAATAAACCTGTTTGAACAGGTAGCAGACCTGTTTGGTTTAAATGGCACTATTTGGGTTTTAATTCAAACAGATATGAATCTGTTTGGGTTCGAATTTTGAACAAAACATGTTCTGGGTTTGTAACAGATTCGGATCTGTTGGATAGAGGTGCAAACTGTTTTGAAATTTCAAAAATTGAAATTAACCTGGACAAAAATTCAGAATTAATTTCGAATTCTTGGAAAGATTTTATTTCAAAAAATAAAATTAAATACAAATGTTTTGGGCCCAAAAAGATTATTATTGGGTTGGACAAGCCCAACTCAACCATATACCACACACCTGTGCTCAAGCCCAGCCCGGACGGTGGTGGTGGTGCACGTGTGGTGATTTTTGGGTCTAATGGGTCTACTCCATTTTGTCCATAACCTCTCTCTCTACAAAACTTGGGTGTCCCTTGGAGCCTACCCCAAGTTCCAAACCCATACCTTATAAATCCACAAAGCTCTTCCCACCAAACCAGTGTGGGACAAGCCTTAAATCATACTTTTAAGAAATTTCCACCAAAACTCTATTTCCATAGAGCTCACTTTGGCTTCAATTTTCCATTCATCCGATAATGGTTTTGAGCAACCAAATATACTACGTGAATCACAACGCGGCATAAAACGCGTTACTACTTTGACTCGCAAAATTCGGCGCATGGGTCCCATTTAAAAATTAGACCAAAGTTAAGAAAAATTCTGTTTTCCAGATTTTTCCAAAACTCATTTCTAACATTATTCAAATTGAAACTATAAGGAATAAAATAAAATTTAGGTTAAACTATAAGGATGAAAAGTGTAAGTAACCCAAAAATAAATAAATCAATGTGAATGGCAGTTTTTTGGGGTATTTACACCAAAAAAATAAAATAAAATAAAATTACAAAATACAAATCCAAAGTTTAACTTTTGTAACAAAATAAATTCTAAATATTTAATTTTTTTAAATTTAAACACTAATCTTTTGATTTTTTTTTTCAATCTAAACTATTTACTTATTTCCAGTAAATAAAACCAATGGGCAAAATATTTTTATCATTAAACTCACTGTAAATGTATATAATTTTTTTAGAGTGCTGCTATTAGCACCTGCCAAAATTTTTTGGACCCCCCATTTTATGATTTTTTTTTAATTACAATTATACCCTAAAGTAAAATTATATTAAAAGACATTATTAAATGGAACACCCATCTATCAATAAGAACTAATACTCTATAATATTAGACACCCACCCCCACCCCCACCCCTACCTCCAACTCCAACTCCAACTATACGTATTCCATATTTGTAAACCCTAAACCTATTACTTTTCATAACCAACTAACATAAACCCTAAATCTATTATGTTTTATAATCATCTTAAATCCTGAATGTGTCATCTTCATCACCATCATCAACGCTATTGAACTTAAAAGGTTTGCTTCAAGTATAACGTATACTTCATCACTTATTTCATTGTGTAGAGCAATGGAGGACGAAGACAACAATTCTAGTGAGACCGGCGTTCCATTGGTAAGTTTATCTGTCTTGCATTAACATTCTCAATCGTTTTCGGTTGTTCTTGTTTTGTTCGAGCTGTTCGGTACTGGTTTGCTAACTGTTAGAATTATGTTCGGTAATACAGTACTGAACATAATCCTTTCGTTCAATACATAGGTTCCGAACATTAATGCAGATAGTCAGTACTGTTGAACCGAATATCATCTTTATTTTCGTCACTGTTGAACTGAACAAAACCATTAGTTTCGGGACTGTTGAAATAAACATCAAATGAACATCATTTCTCAATTTTGAAATTACATTCACACGTGTTTTCAGGGTGATACTTCGACTAGAGGCAGTAAGGTTGATTCAGAACTTGTAATGGATTATTGTAATGAATTTGTTACTCATGAGGTGAGTCTTTGATTGTTTTACAAGTAATGTACCTTTCTTATGTGCAATAATCGGTTAGTTTAATTTATTTATTTATTTCAGATTTTCAAGAGTCCAGATGAGTTAATTCGATGGGCACGTCAAGTTGGAAGAAAAAATGGATTCGTTATTGTCGTGCAGAAATCAAATGGAGGTGGTATTCGAGGTAGGAAGCCAAGACTTAGCTTAGCTTGTGAGAGGAGTGGATCTTATAGGGACACTCGAAAAAACAGTAGGCCTAAGACAAAAAAAGCAAGACTAACTGGTACAAAAAAATGTGAATGTCTTTTTTTATTGAAGGGCCAAAAATTAGCCACAAATGATGACTAGATCTTGATAGTTGTTTGTGGTGTGCATAATCATCCTGCTGTAGAATATCTTGAGGGTCATTCTTATGTTGGAAGGTTGTCACATGAGGAAACCTCTTTGTTGGTAGACATATCGTCTTTCTACCAAGTCGTTTTGGTCCACTTGTCTATGCAACAATGTTTGACATTCCTCCCTCTTAGGTCAATACCGACGTCTGTTACCTCTCGCAAGGAGATATGTATTGGCTTTGTCAACAACAACCATTTGTTCAAGTATTGGTTTCTAATATTTTTGTACATTCTTATATATTATAACGACAAATTTCTTAATAACGACAACATTTTCGTACATTGTAATATATATATATATATATATATATATTTTGTAGCTCATTTTGGAGCTTGGTCATCCTATTCCACCCATAGTAACTAACTGGCGGAGGTACCATGACCCTTGTGCAGTAGGCTGGGAGGTTGCATACAGTTCCAGAGTACAACATTTCAAATCACTCATCAGTATAGACATAGCCACAATCAAAACAGTAGACCTAGATGAGGACTAATATCATACGAGTGAGCTAGGAAATAGAATTAGAATGGATTTAAGTTATGTAATTTTCTTTGTTAAACTAACTTAGAATGGAAAAGAGTGAATTGGAATGGATTTAAGTTATGAATTTTGAATGGATTTAATTCACGTTATTTTCTTTGTTCTAATGAATTGGAATGGTAAACAGTGAATTGAAATGAATGTTATTTTCTGTGTAATATTGAATTAAAGTTGATGGAAAATGTGAATTGGAATGGATTCAAGTTACACAGTGGTGAACAAATTTTGTTTGGACATACAGTGCTGACAAGATCACTATTGTTCGACAAAACAGTTCTAAACAAAATACATTTGTTTGGCTATATAGTGCTAAACGAATTTTTTTTATTCGGTTCTACAGTGTTAAAATGAGTAGGGCAACAACTGTGGTTGGGCCAGCAAGCATCTATGTTCGGCACTACAATACTAAAAAACCATATCTGTTCGGCATTACAGTGCTAAACAAAGACTACCTGTTCGACATTATAGTGCTGAGTGAGTCATTTTGATTCGGTTTTATAGTGCTAAACGAGGAGGATTTGTTCGGTTAGTTAATGATGAACATAAAATTCATGTTTATTCAATAGTCCAGATTTGTTTATTCAGTGATGACCATAAAGCAATAAACAAACCAATATTTCAAACAAACAAACTATCAAACAAATTCAAACCATCATGGGCCTCTAATCTATCAAGGTCCTCTCGCAACCTTTGTAAAATAGACGTTGACGAACCAAATTGGGTACGAGAAATCCAACGAAAGACATGAGGCTGATCTTCTTTATAGTCCAAATTGGGGTGGGGTCTAGCACCAACAAAATGCTCGTAAATCCAAGCTTCTAGCAATGTCATGTATCCTGCCATCTGTTTCACGACATACCTTGTGGCAGTACCCAATTGCCAGTATAAAAAAGCCAATGTGGCTGCACCCCAAGCATAAGAAGCAACCGATCGCAAATCCATAAGAAAAGACAAATACACTACTGGAACACGTGTGCCAGTCTTGTTTGCAAATAAGGTACAGCCTAAAAAATATAACAAATATGCCCTAGCTGCACACTCAATGATATTATCATTGTCCGCATCAGACACTAACCCAAACCATTGTCTCAACCATTCTACCTTTTATAGACAGGCCCCATGTTACCTTCAACGCTAAATTTGCCTCATTTGTTGTTACTCCCAAAGCCTCGACTAGCAGATTTGCAACGTCAACATTTGATAACTTCTTGCAAGAGACTGATTTACCAATCACTGGAATCCCTAGAATTACACTAACATCATTTAAGGTTGGTGACATCTCACCAAATGGTAGATGAAACGTGTTTGTCTCTGGCTGCCATCTTTCCACAAAGGCTGAAACTACAACTTTGTTTACAAATTTATATGAGCAACTGTAGCTCGACTTTTTCGTGCCCCCTTTCAGAAACTCGAAAATAGCCCTACAGTTCGGACTCCTGTGGTTCTGAATCTAATCTCACAAGTGCAATGTGAAACTGATAATCACCAAAGAGTCCAAATCCGACAAATCTTTTGGAAAATTGATTTTAAGATAAAAAAAATGCCAAAAATGGACTGTTTTACTAGATACAGAGTCGTCACCTAAATATTTTATTTTGGAGAAATTTTGGAAACCCATGACTCGTGCCAATGGCCACGTGTCCGTCACCACCAAAGTTGCCTCGGCTCGGGAACTTAGGTACGAGAGGGAAAGGTCATGAATTGAGCACCCCAGTTCGCCCGATCAAAGATCGGCCTCTACCAATCATGAAATGATTTTTATAAAAATTTATGTGCTCTTGTTCCGGTTGTTAAACTAGCGTTACTATGTGATGTGCACAAGCAATTATAGACTAGTTTGCTCAAGTTGGAACAATTCAAATTCATGTTTGTTTTGCGAAAGAAGGTTTGAATTTGCCACCTCAAGTGAGCTTAAAGTTTGCGAATTTGCCACCAAACAAGGTGGGCTTAAAACGTACATTTATTGAATCGTTCTATTTCAAGTAACAAGCCTTCATCTACAAGCATTCAAGCAGTTTATCAAGTAAGCATCTAGTCTCATGGTAAGCATGTTAGTTATGGAAATCACCATACTCATGCTATATGCTAAAACACAAAAATACTCACCTAGTACTTCAAGGCGAGCCAAAACAAGCAAAAGAGTTAGAAAACATGCATGCTCCTAATTAATGCAACATGACTAATGCAACACATGTAATGATGCAACTAATAGGCTCAGCTACTAATTATGACATGTGCATCAATTTGATAGTATGCGTTCTAAACATGTAGTCAACAAAGTATGTAAACGACAATACTTTGTTAGAATGATGAACCGAACCTCGATTCATGCAAGACAAGTGGATGCAAATCATGAAGTATGGTAAAAGAAACATAATCTTCAAAACTACCCATTATAAACAAATAAATAAAAGGGAGAAAGACATAGGGTTGGAAGACATAGATATTATTACAAGTTTGCCCTCGCGCAAGAGGTTCTAAATGAATAGCCTAGCTAATTACTATGAATTAATTAACAATTACAAACCTAAATTAATAAATTAGCTACACTAGCTAAGCTACTTAACTAATTATTACAATAACAAAATTTAACTAACTATTCTATCTAATTAAATAAGTACAACACATAGCTATTCTAACTAATTAATTACAAACTTACTACTCCAAACACAACACTGATATTATTACAACATCACTTCACGGATCCCAAGGATTGAGGGAGGGCTCATGCATGGATGCAAATTTCCATCCAATAATGCTCTCTGTTTTGCTACTGGAATGCCTCTGTTGTACAATTGGAAAAAATGCACTGTTTTTTCTTGCGCTCGAGCGGACTATGTGTATTTCAGCTCATAAAAATGACATTTTACATCACTTTTTCATATCTCTTTCTCTCTCTACTCTTCAAAAACCCTAGATCTGGAGCTCCTCTTTCTAAAATCTCTCTCTCTCTCTCTCTCTCTCTCTCTCTCTCTCTCTCTCTCTCTCTTCATTTTCACTTAGATCCGTTGAGTTCTCTACCCTAGTGTCTTTGAGAAAAAGGTGGAGCATGTCGAGGGCTCGCATTTGATCTGGATAGATTTCTGTTTGAGCATCTTTGAAGTTTCTCATTTTCTCCTTTGATCTTCTAAACTGGAGGTTTTGATTTTCTACACTTTCATATGATTTTTCATTTAGTTATGAGTTTGTTGTGTAACAATGGTGGAATTTAGGTATACTATGAACAAATCGAGGGTTTGGGGTATTAAATCAAAAGAGGGGTTTCTAAGTGAATGAGCCATAAATGGTTATGGGGTTGAATATGAGGTTATATTGCAAAAAAATAGTTGATTTTGGCATTTGGGTTGATATTTGGGAAAGAGGGGGTTTGCCCTAAAAATGTTTCAGATATTTATTTTGTATAAATAAATGGAATTGGTATTGAAAATATGAAATTGAATAGATGTTGACATAAATGGTGGAGAAGAATATGTATTATCACTCACCTATGAAATTTTGAATAAATTGTCTGCCTTGAGATTGAATATTTGTTTAGAAATATCTGTATTGGGTTATCGGTGGAGAATAGCTATGATTATTGTAGAAATTGCATAAGGATTAGGTGAATTGAAACCAATCTCTTGTTGGTTGTCATTGAATATGACTATGTTTTAAATACATTGTATATGTATGATGTTTAGAAGGAGAAAGGGGGTATACTTCATGTTTGGGAGGAGAAAGGGTATGGATGTATAAAATACTGCCCAATCCACTAAAACCGCACCGATCCGCATTAATCTGCATCGCTCTAACCGCTAATCGCGATTTAAACTTTAAAATTTATAATCCGCCAACCAAACCGCTCCGCTCCGCTATAGTTAATACATATATATTTTTTAACTTCCAATAAAATATCAATGTAAAAATGAGTGTGAGAGAGATTTAATGTAATGCCCCGAAATATCCCAACACAAATTAGGCACATTAACCAACATTCATTAAGGAATAAAGATAGATCTCCAACCCTTTTCATCATTAATCAATAAAGAGTATGCAAAAGTTCTACATACAAATTATTCATTCAACGGTAAGAAAACACATGAATCTGTAGCATGTAGAGCATTAAATCCTAAAAAAAATAAAATGCCCTTAAGGGCTTACATCTTCCAAGGCTTGAGCCTGGTTACACAAAAATGGTTTCACGAACCCATACATTTAAAGCCCTTGGCTAGCAAATAAATTCACAACAAAAATAGAGTCATCTACTCTTCACAAAATATGTCCACGCCCTCAACCCGGTGGGATCACTACATCATTTCCTACACCAATATCCCATAGGAGTGAGCATAAAGCCTAGTAGAGAATCATTACAAAGTATACATAGTTATGCAAGATTCCCAATATTAAATGCAAATGCCATGCAATGCCAATTTAAGGAGAATTTCATTTACATGCTCTTTTGAAAATCACCATATTCAACAACAATTTGAAATCTCAACAATTCCGAAACTTACAATTTTATTCCATAGGGGCGGTAAATACGACTCAGGTAATCCCTAGGTTGGTGTCTGCAAGTAGGCTCAACTAGCACTACCAAAAACCCCACTTTACTGGTTGGTAACTGGAAAGGAAGTGGTACCTCATCTGCACGTGTTTTCGGTCTTTCACCCCGGACACTCAAGCCAACTTATCAATTTCATCTACACCTCCTATCCGGACTTACCAACATATTTACCCCATAAACATTTCCATGATTTCGTTTCACAATATTTCATTTTTAATGAAAGTTTTAATTCCCAATCCAATGTTCTTGACATGCAAGGTTTTAGAGAAGCCAATGCAACAATTATCTATTCTACATCATATTTCTCCACTTTCAACATAATTTCAACAAATATTCTATGATGATCAAAATTTCCTTTTTCACCTTTCAATGCCATTCCACAAATAGCCAAAAGCTTGCTACCATTTATCAATAAATATAACAACATGTCCACAATTCATGCACTTCCATCATTTTCATCATTTCAAAGTTATAGCAAAATTTGGACAACAACCTCCAATCTCAATAATTCTCACGTGTAGAGAAACCCATCATCAATATATATACATTTGTAATAAAACAAGGAAACTCTCCACTTTCTTTACTTATCACGGCACACAACTATGAATTTATATATATATATATATATATATATATATATATATATTATCACCCATAAACCCTCATCTTCCTTTATTTAAGGAAATCCCTAAAATTTCTAGGTTTTCTTCTTTACAAAAACACACACACACACTAAACACTTGAAAGGGACTCAAAGGAACACACCATTATCTTGCTTAAGATGATTTCAACCCTTAAGATGCTATCTTAGAAAGATTTGAGATTTTAAAACCCACTTTTGAAAATCTCTACATTTTGGGCCACAAAATCAAAACCAACATAATAACTTCAAGAAAACCTTTAAATCAACATCACTATTGCAAAACATGTATATATAACTCAAAGAAGTCCCTACCTCAAGTTTCGGAGAAGATGAGAGAAGAAACCCTAGAATCAAAAGGTGTCAAAATTCAATCTCCACCACACACGATGTAGTTCTTGCTTTGCTAACCAAGATTTGTGAAAGAAAATGAGTCAAAACTCAATTGATTGCAAGGAATCAAAGGTTCTTGAAGTTTGGTGAGAGTTTTTAGAGAGAAAGAGGAGTAAAATGATGTTTAGAGTGAGAGAGAAATGTCCCAAAAGTAATACATACACAGCCAAATAAAGAGAAAAAAATAGAGATTCAGACTACCAGCGTCCCGCACGTGTGGAGCCTGCTTCCCGCACGTGCGGCCTTCATCCCTGCACGTGTGGCCATCTCCTCCGCCCCTCACTCCGCACCTGCATATAATACAGTGTGCAGCCCTCCAAAACTCACCTTTCCCCGCACGTGCGGCCCTGGCCCAGCAGTCTAGAATTTTTCTGGTTCGCTCCCAGGCACTCCGGACTCGGTCGTGCACCCTCCGAAACAAATGACGCTCAACCCGGAGTTAGACAAGGACCGGAATTTGAAAGAAAACTCTCGAACACCACAGACTCAAGGAGGACAAAAAGAAACAACACGCAATGAAACCAGTCATCACATTTAAGATATGAAATTTATTACAAATTAGTGGTTATATATATGAAACATATTATGTAAAATTACTTTGTATTATATATCTAAAAAATATTATACAAATTAGTGCTATATATTATGCAAATGTATGATAATTAGTTAGAATATTTTTCAATCCGCCAAAAACCGCCCAAAA